ATGTTAACGAAATTTAGCAGATTATCAGCAAAAAATTATAATGCTTTCATATGCAAAATATCAAATTATTTTATTAATTCTTAAGGTTTGTTATGCAATGTTTTTCTCATGTTGTTTTCTTTTCGCATGTTGCATATCCAATATGCAAAGTAATTTTCATTTTAAGATTAAAAATACTTTTATGCATCAGGAAATTTTCAAATTTCACGTACGAAATCTTTATAATGTCCAGATAGTTATCAAATGTTTCTTAAGAAAAAAAAAATGTATATTTTGCCCGTTATTTTCACTAACAAATATGTACGGGTTCAGTAGATTTGACCAATCTTGTAACCACGATATAAAAATTAGGAAATAAATATAAATTATGCCTCTTTCGCTCTAGAATGAACACAAATAACAACACGAAAACATAAATGCTTAGACTAAATAGCTTAAATCTCATAACATTATAAATTTAATATATTGATCTATCAGCTGTGCCTGGTTAACAATACAGAAGTTATAATGATGTGGCACATGTGCTCTCATGTTACTGTATCAAAATTATAAAATTGACCTTTACAAAGTGACCTGTCTTTGCTGTATTTTAGTGGACTAGTATTTTGTAAAATACAGTCACATTTCCATTATTATACATCATATATATTTATTAATAATTCTTAAAGTATAAAACAGTACATAAAGAAGTAAAGCAAACAATTATCTCTTCTAGTTATGACCTTTGTACTTGGTTGCTGTTTGACGTAGGTTGCTAAGCCTTTAAAAAATTTCTTGGAGGATATGAAACGAAATAATTTTTTTTAGTTTATATATATAAGATGAATAACTAAAAAAACCATAAATTACAATATTGATACCATAGAGTTCCACTATAATTTATCAAGCTTAGAAACTAAGCTGTATTTCAGTCTAAAAAAATATGAAATTTCGAGCAGACTAAAGACACAACCTACCTCCTAACACATGAAAATGGCTGAGAAAGCCACTAGAGGGACATTCTGAGCTTTTGAATGGTTATTCACAGGTCATATATTGAAGTAAGTGTATATAAGGGACCATTTCCAAAAATGGAAAGAGGTGAATGGGGCCACTATGTTTTATTCATAACATGAGTGAAATATCAGCAAATAGAAAAGATAAGACCTTCTTATTTTATACTCTAGCTTGTCAATATCTGTAATTTGAGTTTCTAATTCGTACGAAACAATAGACTTAGTATTTTGAATTCACAAACATCTATTTTTAACCAGTGCTGCATTCAACATACCACGTGACACACAAAAATCAATGTTTAACTGTGTTTTTTTAATATTTACTTTTCAATTAGGAAATTAAATAATGTATAATACTAAAATTTGAATTATAATCTACACTTTGATACCAAACTTACTGATATAAATTCTTGAAATATTAGTTCAATAAAAGTTTGAATATGAGTCAACAAATGTGATGACATGGTCTTTGACCTGTGACCCATCTGGAGAAGGTTAAGACTTGTGGTCAATCAAGAAGTTTAGTGCCTTTCATGGAGATAGAGTATAGATTTTAGATACGATAATTGTTTGGAAGGTGATGGTTAAAAAACTTTTGGTATTAAAATTAAACTTCAGATGGTTGGGAACATTAAAAGGCTTCTTTTTTGAAGAATCAGTGTCACATGAACTATTGTCTTGTTTTTCAGATGTCGGATTACACTTCAAATGTACTTGAATGGAAAATCTTTCTACCTAGGTCCTCTAGTCCTCTTTTTATTTATATTTCAGAAATTTGCTTGAGAGTAAAACCATTTTCTTCACTGTGTTATACTACAACTCAACAGGCTTTCACATGCCATATAAAAAAAATTTGGTTAAAAACAATTAAAGATTAGAACATGAATTTACACCTGAAATTTTACTGCATACAGCAAGAACTGTAGGACAAACTGTATCACACAAATTTGTTGACTAGAGCATTCCAGGATTCATGTAAAGGATGTGTTAATACTTACATTTGAGAAACCTGCTTACAAGTATCTGTAGGATTACAATAAAAGTTTAAAGGTCCCTTCTTTTGTGTTTGATCACATGACTCAAAATAAACAGTTGTTTTTACAGGTGTTAAGATCATTAACACAGAAAATAATAGAAGTAGCAGAAAAAAAAATCTTTATAAAAAAACAAACAATAAAAACACAGCCATAATCCAGTAGTCATGTGTAAAAGTATATTTATTTTAATTTTTATCTATTGAACAGTTGTGCTCAACTTGTTTTTATTTTGTTGCTTAGTGATGTAGTATCCATGTAATGATTTTGTTCCCTTATTCGAGTATATCCACTTGACGATGTTAGGTAAACTTAGCAAAATGTAGTATTTTTAAAAACATAATTACTTGTTTTATTCATAAATAACACTAATTTTTATACTATTACAAGTTCTTCCTTTAATTTAATTTACTGTTATCACTTTTTTTCAGATCTCTAGGCGAATCTCCATTGAAATTGAAAACAAATTGGATTATACTTTAAAACAATGTAAAAAAAAGAGCTTTCATCGTGTGTTTAGATTAGTTGCTTATGACTTCTCAAAGCTGAGATACAAGCAATTATGTCACACCATGACAACCAAGATTGAGAAACAACGACTAGCTAAAACTGATAACAAGGTTCAAATTGGCACTGTTTCTTTCACATTCAAAATTCTATCAACTTTCCTCCTAAAGGTCCATGAGAAAAATTTATAGCAATAACAGATAAAAAATATTTCATTTCCTGAAGCTTCATGATCCACAGAAAGTTCATCCCAAGTTTCAAACTATTACATCCAGTAATTTGTTTGTGTAATGCAATAAAATGAACAATACAACAAGAGCATCTAATCAATGCAGTTGGGCATTTTAGAGTTAATGTGGAACTTCACAAATAATTAATAGGCCACCATACAATTATTTGAATTTTCTATCTTTTCAAATATGATGCATTAAATCTTAAGTTAAGGAATCGGTCTCATCAGTTTGGTGTCAAAAAGATTTAACATATTTGCTACCACAAGCAGTATCAATAAATTAAGTATAAATAAAACTGAACATTACAGAGGTTCCAAAGAGCAGTCACAGTGTCCAAAACTCATATGCCACAAGAGAAATTTGGCTTCGAAACATAATTGTCTGTGTCCCACCGGTGTGTCACGTAGTCCATAACTAAAAGCAAGTTGTAACCCACCAGTGAGCATATGGCAGCAAACATGCTAATAAACCAAATGTAACATTAGGAGTTTCACAATCATAAGACATACAGAATATAAACTTGGACAAACACTTCAAAGTAGCTCATTAAGCAAAAAGACCATTGAAATTTTATAGAAGCTTTTAAAAGAGCTCTTAAAAAAAAAGATTTACATACTTGGATTTATCATGACCAGCTAAGTACAGATTAGAATAACCAGAATAATTCCGTCTTAGCCCAAAAGGAGCAAAATTACGCTCATTGACATGTCTGTGTCGAAGTAAAAGTGCCCTCATGACAGCCCCTCGCTGGTCTGGCTTGATCTGGTCAGTGATGACCATGTTCTCAACAATTCTGTAAGCAATTCCTGGCAAGTCTTTCTCTTCTAGGTCCAGTAAAACAGTCCCTGAAGAATCACATATAGCAATGTAAAAAAAATAGTAGTAGATGGTAAAATTGATTCAAGATTTAGTCATCAAAAAAAGAAGTAAATATATGCTACAGTGACTCACTGTACTCAATCACCTTCCATCTTGTTTACTACACACAATCTCATCACTGTAACAATCACTTTCCATCTTGTTTACTACACACAATCTCATCACCATAACAATCACTTTACATCTTGTTTACTACACATAATCTCGTGTGGGATACAACAAACACAGCAGTGGTCAAAACATCTAATTCTTGAAAATCCTTAGAAACTAGATAAAGAATGTAGTGTTTAAAAAT